ACCCACCCAAGCGAACTATGTGGGCAGCAAATTCCTTATGGTATATTTTGACATTCAGTGGGGCGGGGTGTTTCTTAATCCGGGTTGGGAGCAGGAGCCTGTCCCAGAGCCTTTGGAACCTGGCGGTGGAGCTAGGATGGAGCTGGGGATGGTGGGGGGAGGGTGGGGGGCGGGGGGGGCATGGCCAGGTGGGGGAGCAGTGCTGGCATCTCCCGGGTCCCTGGGATATCGGTGGGCCCAGTGCCTGGGGCCGGATGCAGAGGAGTGGGCTCTGGGTTCGCTGGCCGTGGGGCGCCGTGGGGAGCAGGCAGAGAGGGGGTCTGACCAGGGCTCCCCACGGCTGCAGGGAGGCGGTTCTGAAGCGAGGCAGCTGGGGGTTGTGGAGGGAGGCCCAGGTGATGGCCGGCAAGTCCCGGGCGCCCGCAGGTGCGGGAGCCCCTGGGGAGGAGGACAGGTGTGTGCGGTCCCACGGGCGGAGCTGGGTGTTAAAAGCCGGGATGGGTCCGGACAGCAGGTGGGGGTGGCGAGGGGAGATCTGGGCCAGGGGGGTGGTTTCGCTGTGAAAGGTGGGAAGGCACCCACGTTCTGAGAGGGGAGTGCGAACTGAGATGCGGTTTACATTTAAAATCGCCCCCCGGCTGCCTCGGGGAGGAAGGAGAGGGCAGGGCCACGGGTAGTACCGGCCAAGATTTGCCAGCTTCGTGGGGCCTGAGCCGGGTGCCAGGCCGGTTGGTTTCGCTTCCTGGTCTCAGCCTCCTGAGGGGCTCAGCCTGCTCTGTCCCCCCAGGGACATCACGGTGGCCGGCGGGCAGGGGTGTGGGCAGCAGGGGTTCCAGCGGAAAGGGGGGGGGGGTCTGCCCAGGTCCCTTCCAGTGTCAGGGCCACCCCAGAAGGGAGGCCAGGTGTGGGCCTGGGAGGCAGCGGGGAGGGGCAGCCCCTTGATGGGGGCACGGGACACCTAGGCGGCCAGCCCCGATGGGCAGCGATGCCCCCACTGGCGGGCTCCCTCTGGGCAGGGTACCTTTTGGGGCTGAGGGGCCCTGACAGCCAGTGGTACCCTGGGAGAGGGGGTCCCAGGCCTGGGAGAGGGGGTCCCAACCGGGCAGAGGGAAGGGGACAGGCCGGGCCATGTGTGGGGGACCCCGTGGGACGTACGGTCAGGGAGTGAGGGGGCCCAGAATGTCCCTGCGAGCAGGGGGTTCCGGGTGGATGGTTGTCCCCCGAGGGGCGGGGGGGGGGTCCCTGCCAGGCAGAGGCGCCGGGTGGGGGGTCTCCCTCAGGCTGACACCTTTGCACCCCGCCTGTCGCCCGCAGGGGAGAAGCCGCACCAGTGCGCCGTGTGCTGGCGGTCCTTCTCGCTGCGCGACTACCTGCTCAAGCACATGGTCACGCACACGGGCGTGCGCGCCTTCCAGTGCGCGGTCTGCGCCAAGCGCTTCACGCAGAAGAGCTCGCTCAACGTGCACATGCGCACCCACCGGCCGGAGCGCGCGCCCTGCCCCGCCTGCGGCAAGGTCTTCTCGCACCGCGCGCTGCTGGAGCGCCACCTGGCGGCGCACCCCGCGCCCTGACCCCGGCCGCGCCCGTGCGGGTGGACCACGCCCACTGCCGGGCTCCTAACCTTCCTGCCGGCCGGCCGCTCAGACCAGCAGGTACCGGGACCACAGCCGGCCACCATGTCCCTGAGCACAGGCGCGACCCCTGCTCCACCCGCATCTCCACGGACCAGGGGCCCAGCTCGCTGGACTCCTCCCACACTCGGACCCTTCCAAGTGGTTCCGACTGCCTCTGAGAACCGGATCGTCAGGCTTGGGGTGGGGCCCAGGATTCGTGCTCCAACTCGCCCAAGTGGGGTGGGGTTCAGAGCTGCTTCCCTACTCCAGCTTCAGACGGCGAGATCCAGGGTGCACTCCCCCAGCCGCCCTCACCTGGCACCTAGGGGCGCTCGGATGGACCCAGTGTGGACCAATATAGGACTGCCTCCGGGCCAAACCCAGGAGCTGTGAGCTCCCCGACTGGGGTTTCTCGCTCTCACTGGGTAAAGACAGAGCTGTCCACTTGGTCGTCTGGTGCCTGTTCTCTGGGCGGGAGGGGGGCGTGCATATGACGGGGCCTGGCTCCTGGTCCGCGGTCCTGTGGGCAGGGGACAGGCCAGCCCCTATGAGGTGTGTCTTCAGAGAGGGAGGCCGCGTGCGGGACACACCCCCGTCCCCGTTACCGCTGCCTGCGAGGAACATTTCCTCGAAGCCTGTTCCCCTCCCTGTTCTGATGGGCATCATGGGGAGCACCTTATTCTGGGGGCCCAGGAGTTCTCTGGGGGCCTGGCCTGCCATGAGGGGACCTGAGCCCTGGCACACCTGCCCTGGAGGCCAGGTCTGCAGTGCTGGGCGGGCAGGTGTCGGAGCTGCAGCCGGGACCCTGGGGTTGCCTGCTGGGTGGTGCCGCTTTGTCACCAAGCCCTGCACCAGCTTGGCGGGCACCCCAGAGGGAGGCTGCTCTTCTCTTGCCTCCAGTGCAGGGGGGGAGGGGGGCCTGGGGATTTGGGGCAGGTTGAGGGGGTGGTGCAGCCTGGAGGGGGTGATCTGCTGGCTTCCGGGCCAGTGGCAGCGCCTTTCCGAACTCCCCCGTGACTGCCTGCCAAGGGTGCGGCAGAATCCGCCCCCCACATGAGCAGGGGACAGGTACTTCGGGTATTCCTTTCAGTGTTTACTGAGCACCTACTGTGTACCTGGCTAGCGCCCCAATCCGGCCAAACCCCACCGCCCCACAGGTGAAGGGGGAGTCGCCGGAGAGCCTGCAGGTGAGGTGTGAAGCCCACAGGCCGTGCTGTCCTGCTCGTGGCCCTGGCCAGCGGGTGTCCATCGAGGCAGAGGGACACAGAGGACCCTAAGGAGCTAAACAAATAGGTGGGGTGAGGGCGGCCGGGACAGGTGGGGGCTGGGTGGACAAGGTGAAGGGGTGAAGAAGTAACAAGTGTCAGTTACAAAATAGGGAGATGTCCAGTACAGCAAAGGGACTAATCGATGCTCAACACCTGGGCGGTGCCAGGGGAGGACTAGATAGAGGAGGGATCACCTCGGAAGGCATGAGTGTCCAACCGCCCAGCCCACTTGGCTCAGCGGATAGCGCCTTGGCCGGCGGACTGAAGGGTCCGGGTCAAGGGCACGTTCAGGGGTTGCAGGCTCCAACCCCAGTGGGGGGCGCGCAGGGGGCAGCCGATCAATGATTTTCATCCTTGATGTTTCTATCCCTCTCCCTTCCTCTCTCTGATATCAATAATAAAAGTGTTTTTTAAAAATGACTAAAGGTGTTTAGCCACACCCGAAGCGAATCTGCTGTTGACTGTTCACTATCTTTGAAAAATAAAAACAAGTTCTGGGGGCGGAGTCCCGCGGCGGGTCGCTCCGCCCCGGTGCCGCCTGGACCCCCGCCAGGGGCCAGAGGTCTCCCCGCGGCCCGCGCTCAGCTCGGAGGACAGATGGCCGGTGCCATGGGCCCGGGACGCCTGTTCGCTGCTGCTGCTGCTGCTGCTGCCGCTGCTGCTGCTCCTGCGGGGCGCGGAGGCTGCCCGCCTTGGGCGGGGCCGCGACCTCGCGCTGCGCTGGCTCTGGGTGACCCCACCTGCTGGCGCGCTGGTCGGCTTGGCGGCGCTAGCGCGTCCTGGCTCTGGCCCTGGATGCCGCCTGGCTGAACTTGGGGCCGTGGCCCTAGACATAAGCTTGCTGCCGCCCAGGCGGCTCCCGCGCTGCTGGGTGCCCGGGAACTGGCTCGTGGCGGCATTCTCGGGTGGGCCTGGAAAT